AGCTTAGGAGTGTTTGGGCAGGGGTCTGATCAGTACCCTTTTATGTAGCAGTGGATAAACGGCTTTTCTGATACTAAGACATAAGAACAAAACAGGAAGAAAGGTAGGAACCGTGGAAGGAAGGAAGGAGAGAATTAAAAAGTGGTTTACTTAGTAAAGATCTTCATCTTAATGCTTGAAAGACCAAAACCATTTAAGAGGGAAACTTGCTAATCTTTTGCTGTATGCATAAAGATTGTAAGTAAAAGAATCATCCCTTTAAAAGAACTTATTGCATAAATTAGATGTCTGCAATAGGAAGACAGAAGTGCTATGTGTTTATTTGTATTCTATCACTCCTGTAAGCAATCATGTGGGAGCGGGGTGGAAACGGTCACCTGCAGAATAAAAGCAGTAACCTGTTATCAGTTAGAGACTTAAAAAGTGAGAAGCATTGAGGAGTTTTAAGTAAGTACGGCATTCCACAATGATGCTTAACAGTTTATACTAATTGCTGATAAACTTCTGATACAATAAAGTGAGATCAGGCATTGAAGTACATTCTCTTCTTAAACATAGGTTTGCATTTACCAAAGATATCATTTTGTGACTGCCAAAGGAAAATCTTTTCAACACAGTCAACAGGGAACAATGCTCTCATCTTAATCAATGGACATTTTTTTTTTAAATTTATTTATTTTGAGAGAGAGAGAGAGAGAGAGAGGCAGGCAGAGGGGTAGAGAGAGAGGGAGAGAGAAACCCAAGCAGGCCCCATGCTCAGTGCAGAGCCTGATATGGGGCTTGATTCCATGAACTGTGAGACCGCATCCTGAGCCAAGATTGAGTTGGACGTTTAACCGACTGAGCCACCCAGGTGCCCCAGTCAATGGAAATTTTTAAGAAGAGTCTGAAAAGATAGCTGGCTGTAGCACTCATTTGATTATAGGAAGCTGGGAAACAGAAGGGGCATAAGGTGCCTTTGTAGTTCCGAGTACAGAATTAGGGAAGTGGTAAATATAAACTAAATGGTCTTGAAGGAAGATAAACACGGGTAATCTCAGTAGACATACTCTAAATAAATTATTAATAAAGCGACGGGGAACTAGATTTCTAAGGAAATTTGGGCACAAATGTTTTCTCCAGAAGGCACCAGAGGGGTTGTCAGTGATCAGTTTTGTACTGGCATACGAATCACAGATCTGAAAAGACTTCACACGTACAAAATTGGTCCTTGGACAAAACTGTCCTTGACCAGGCTCTATCTGGGGTGTGGAGCACAAGTAAGAACAGGTTTCCGGGCTTTGGAGAAACAGCCAACGGGCGTTGGAGAAAGACTAAGAAAATACTGAAGGGACGGGTTGAGAGGAAGAAAGAAAAGGTTACTGAACAACTTAATAACAATAGACACCTGTACAAAAGATCATCATACAGATAATGGAGGCTAAATTTTATTTCCAGCTTGGCAGAAAAAGAACCTGCATACATAGGTGGCAGCACAAAGGATTCAGTTTCAATTTAAAGAAGTCAGTTTTGAGTCACTGATACTAAATAATGGGATAGGGTCCGCAGGATGGTGTGGGACCTTCAAAGACAAGATATGTGTGTCCCTGAAAGGCTGGCTGAAGGGAAGACTTATGTTCCCGTATTTTCTGTATGTGATACTGCGTGTTCTCTAACTCAGACGCAACACCGTACACCTATCATGAGATCCGGAGTTCCCCTGGGGTTATCAATTATCCGCACAGCCCTCCTCTACGAAAGGCTTGTGACTGGTTCATATTCAACCCTTAATGTGATAGCACTCTTGTGGGCTTCACGATGGAACAGAGGCACATGGAGATTCTCATAAATTTTATAAAATATAGTTAATTGATCCCACTTTGAAGAAATTTTATGAAAGATTAGATTTTCTTTATCAGAATAGATAGGTTCAAGATGCATTTCTTGCACTGCACTGTTTTAATGACATTTCATTTTTATATTGGTATGCCAGTTAAAAATTATGAATTGACATATTACTGGGGGATTTTGCTTAAATTCTAGAAAAATTGAAAGACACTTTTTTTTTTTATAAAGTAGGCTCCACACCTAATATGGGGCTCAAACTCAAGACCCTAAGATCAAGAGTTGCATGCTCTACTGACTGAACCAGCCAGATGCCCCTGAAAGACACTTTTTATTCAGTTTATTTAAGCCTGAGGTCATTCAGCATAGGTGATTTTTGCATTTCACAAAGGTTATTCTGTAGTTTAATAAACATTAAGAATTCAAGCACACTAAATCTTTAATATACTAAATCTAATAGATGAGAGAAGATTTAAAAGACAATATGTTCCTTTGTCCACTTGAAAGGGTTGCTTAAGTTGATGACTAATTAATCTTGCATTGTTAAATTCCATTCCTAAATATTTTGATGAGTACTGTTAGTTTGATAACTATTTGTAAAGTATTTGTGGTTACGTGTTGAATTCTCATGTCAATAGTTTTTAGTCTGTTATTATTAATATGACATGAAAAGGATGAATTCCTAAAAAACCAAATGCAAGAATCATTCTGCTAAAATCATGTGCAAAGAGAAAAGCTGAAGCTGCAATAAACATAGCAAAGCTATCTGGGTTTGAACAAAAGATTATGGAATTAGGCACATGTATTTTACACTGTATGTAACTCTATCTTTTCAGTCCTAACAAGCTCACTTGGATTCATTCTTCCTCAGATCCAAATACGTTTAAGCTCTTTAAGGATTGGTACTATCTCATTTTTTCTCGCTGGTTCATTAGTACAGCACCCACTAAAGAACAACTATTGTGAGCACAGTGACAGTTTAGAAAATATAAAATGAAAGAGGACGGAAGCAAAAAAGCCCTTTGCTTGCAGCCAAGAAGACGTGGGGATTAAATATGTATTTCTTTTGAACAACTGTCTGGAAGAATTTCCACAACTGTTTTGAAGAAATAAATGTCTATAAAATATGGAATTCTATAGTATAAACAATTTTGACATCTTTTGTTGAGAGACCAAAACAAAAAACATAGTGTATGTTCTGCGGCTCGGAAATTAATAAATCCCCAAGTTTCAATTTCCACTAAAATATTTAATTAATGATATCTTACAGAAATAAATAAGAACGGTTTTTTTTTCTAATACAGATAGGTATATTTATATATATATATTTTTTCTTTTTTTACAAAATTGAAGCATATCAAATTGTTTTCCCTAAAACTTTAGCTTAAAAAGGAATACTAGGAAACAAACAGAAATACTGAAACATGCTCATCATTAAATTACAACCATGGGCCTTCTGAATCTCAGTATGACACAGGATTTACAGAAAGACCATGAGATGTGGAGTAGGGGATCTGGGTTCCACTGCTTCCTTGCTACGTGTCACAAGCATGGCTCTCTGTATTTCTGAACCTTGGTTCTCCAACTTCAAAACAGGAATGATAATAGTTATATCAACTTCACAGGATTATTGGGCAAATTAAAGCTGAATGTGAATGTGTAGGAAAGCTCTTTGTAATGTGTAAAGAGCTACAAAAATAATAGTTTTGTTTAATTTCATATAAAAGAATTGATGCATATCTTCCTTCAACTGAGGAATAAGCACCAAAAACATGTGTGTGTTTTCTTCAGTTGAATTATGTCACCCTATAAACCTAGAATAAGAAAATGCACCTTAACTAAGCACCAAAGCTTCTTGGACAAATATGATATAAGGGATATTTCTATTACAGTTTTCTGGGCAGCTGAGTAGGAGCTAATGAGTCCTGAGGGTCATTTAAAACTCTGAAGGCTCAAAGAAAACAAAACAAGAACCTCTGTATTACATCAAATGGCTAGGATGAAACAAGCTACTCCTTTAGTGACTTCAAAGTCCATTAATTCTTCACAGAAGAAGAAACACTCAGGTGTTATCAGTTGCAATTATTTGCTTATGTAAATATGACATTCTCTTGTTCCAAAGATCAAATACTAGTCCTTGAGAGAAGTCCTAGTGAAATAAAATAACAAATTATCACAAAGTTAGATACCAGTGGTTAAAAGTCTAGTTTCCCAAGAACACGGGAAAGGAAAAGAACCCAAAACATCAGTATAATAATGATAAAAAACAAAACAAAACAAAAAACTAAAAAAACCCCACAAAACCCTGCCATAATTTCCATGTTATAATGATTAAGAACTAAAATTATAAAACTTGCAATATTTACAGACACATCGATCTTAAAACAAGTAAAAACTTAACGATAAGAAAAATTAAAAGTAGAGAAAGCAGTTTAGATCATTTTATGGTAAATATGAATATACTTAAAATGCTAAAGTTCACTGCTTACGCTGACACTACCTAACACATCATAGAAATAAGAAGTGTTCAATGTTTCAATTTTTAGTAGCAACACACAGAGAAAGGAATTACTTGCCTAATATTAACTTATTGTTAGGAGTTGTATTACTGTAAAGTTACTATGCATGGAGTTACAGTCTAAAACTACTCAAATAACTAGGAGTTAATATAATTCCCCATGTACTTTAAATACTACTAGCAAGATATTGGTGAATCATGTGCTAAAGATACCGAAGGCCCTTCCAAAACTGAGATTTATGTGGGTCAGATATACTAGGTCATATAAAACCAGATCACTTTACTTTTTTCCCTTCCTCCAACTCTTTTTAAGACTGATCTTATCAAAAAAAAAAAAAAAAAAAAAAAAAAAAAAAAAAGTACACGTTACCTCTCTTAATTCCCTCGCCTTATCAGATACAGATATTCTTTGGGGCAAAAAATAAATGTTTTATTAGGAGTGTAAAATTAAAAATCTTTATAGATCTTTTGGAAACAAGATATTGGAAAGGACTCAGTAACTACTAGGACACTGTACAACTAAAAAAAAGAAAGAAATTCATTCAATGAAGAACAGTGTATTTACTGACATCTACTGGAGTTTTTACTTATAACTTTGCTCTATAAGCTATGAAAAAATTTAAATACATTAAAGTCTGTGGATTGAATCAAGTGTACTTCATTCAAGTTCTTCAGTTTCTTTGGTAAACAGGTCTGCCAGATCAGCCAAGGTTAAGACAGAGGCCTCTGGATGCTTCACCGATGAGTTCGTGTGACTGCAGGATTTTCCAAGTGAGTAGAGTCAGAAAGAAACCAAGGAATAAATGATTATATTTGTCTTATATTTTGCTCTAGTCCTGTAATAATCTAAGACATTATGAGATAAGAATATAATATTCTTATAATGTAAAACCGTATTTGTTGATAAGTGTTTGTAAGTGAGCCAGAAACTCTGAGTAGAAAGTTGGTGACAGGATCATTATTACTTCTTGTCAAAATTAGGGAAGACTTCCATACAGTATTTTCAGGCTTTGTTATAAAATGTCTTTTCTCTCCATGATTAATGAAACAAAGAAATAAAACCCATGCCAACAGCTACGAAGGCTCTCACCTTACAATTTACCTTCTTACTATCAAAAGTTAGTGTATTTCAAGAGAATTTCAACAGCTCTTCTAACTGGTATGTCATTTAAGTGGCTTAACTATAATCACTGAATTCTGTTCCACATGGAAACATGAACAAAAAGCCTTCATGTCTGATGCAGACGGCTTTCAAGGCAGACTCTTCCCTTCCCATTAAACCACAGATGGAAGGAAACTTCTGGTTTCAAATGGTTTCTTTGCTATGCACACTACCTCTGGAGAGACACCCCTTCTAGGGCAATTATTCTTTTGTATCTTCCAACCATTACCTATTTCATAAGGATGTAGTAAGCCATTGGTTTATATTTTCAAAATGACTTTATAGGAAATTATAGAATCAATATTAGAAAGTTTTATAATTCTAAAGTTAAGTTTTTAAAATTAAGGCTACTCTGGTCTCTCTGCTTCTGTTGTGCCTTTGGAACTAATCTCACAATTCCCAGCTGAGTTTTAAGTCCAGATCTTCCTCTGTGTATATAACTAAGTTGTGTGATGTATAAAGAAACACTATAAGTTTCCTTTCACAGATACCAGACTAAGGCTGCCAGGTGGGGCATAAAGATAGATTTCTTTAAAAAGTAATCCAATACGGCAAAGAAAAGTAGGACGTTTAAATATTTTTACACATTACAATCCCTATTAACAAATTAAATCAAATATAGGATGCCAGAGCATTAACTGGGACATTTTACACGGGGTAAAATGTCCCATCTTGCTTTTAAAAAGTATTTGCACTTAATATTTTTTGGTTGACTAAGTGGTCATCTAAGTGAAGAAGTCCCAAACACTCACACGATGTCATGTAAACAGGAAACGCCCAGGGGCTTGGATAAAGCGTTACCTACCTCTTCTCAGCAGTTTTCAGCATGGCTTGCATTCTTTCTTCTATTGTTGCCTTAATTAAGAATCTGTGTACAATAGTAGGTCTAGAAGGTACATAACAATGATACATTCAAAAACATCTTAAAACTAATTAGGACAAACAAGATTTCACATATTATATGCTACATTCATCAGTCACTTAGTGCCACCTGGCAGGTACTCATCAGTGTGCTGGGGTGGGGGGGGGGTCAGCGGTGAATAAAACAAACTAGCCTTAATGAACTGACATTCGAACAAGGGGAGACACACAATAAACACGTAAATCAGATGGTACAGATAATGACACAAGGCAGCTGAGACATATGAGTTAAAACATGACCGATGGGAAGGAGGCCACTCAGCAAAGGAGAAGCAGGAAAAGCATCCAAACAGAAGAAACAGTAAGTAAATGCAAGCTCTTGAAACACGCTTGAAACAAGCCTAAGGCTGGCGTGGCGGAAGGGTACTGTAATGTAGGGGTAGAGAGTGGAAGTGAGTTTGCAGAGGTAGGCAGGGACCAGATCGTGTAGGGTCTGGAGGGACATGGCAGGAATCTGGATTTTTATTGTGGTTATGGGGGGAAGCCATCCATGGGTTTTAGGCGTGATTTCATTTGTACTCACTTATACTTTAGACATCTCTTTGGCTCCTGCATGGGGGATGAACTATTAGGTAGCAAAAGTTAAGGAGTTCTGTAAGAGTCCAGGTAAGGGGTGGGCTGTACTCTGGTTGGGTCAGTGGCAACAGTACGTAGCAGAAGATTTGGAATATCTGGCAAGATAGAGCTGGCAGGTAGAACTGGCAAGACTTCAGTGATGGTGTGGACGTGTGGACAAAGAGACAAATCTGGAAGAGTCCTAGACCTCTGGTCTGAGAAACTACACATGAGAGAGGCAGACTATAAGATGGGGAGGGCTTGGGGTGGGTGGGAGCGCAGCCTATGGGAAACCAGAGTTTTCCATAAGCTAGGTATCTAAGGGGAGGTGGAGTCCAGATATGTGTGAAGTGGCAGAACTGGGTGTGTGGGTCTGAGACGGGAGCTGAAGGGGCATGTCTGGACCAGGGACATGCGTCTGAGAGTCATCAGCGCATAAGTGCTACTTAGAGCTCTACGACTGGATGAACTCATTTAGGAAGCATAGATGAGAAAAAAAGAGCCCTCAGGGACCACTGGCAAGAAGTAGGTCATTAATAGCATTTTGAAACCTTATTTTGGTGGCACGGTGAGGACCAAAACCCCACCAGAAAGGCTGAGAGCGGAGGGGTAAGGAAGTGGATGGAGGTGGAATGCAGGGGAGTGTTTCTACAGATGGGTGATACTAAGACATATTTATGTGGTCATGTGTTACAAGAGGAATGCCCTTGAGAGAGTAGGAGAACGGATGGCACCCATGACAAGTGGAAAGGCTGCCTTTTGAAAGAAAAGGGACACTCCCCCGACTGTGACAGAAGGGAGGGAACATACTGTGCCTTCCTGCTTTTTGCTACTGAGGAAACATCCCAATGCCCACCTATGAGCAATGCCTGCACTTGAGCGCTGTTTTACACTCTCTCCTCTCTTGCTTTACTAGTTGTTTTGTCTTTAATGAACCATTCCTTTATTTCTCCCATATGAAAGGAAAAACAACAAAAAACCCCTCTTGATCTCATACTCTTCCTTTTCTCTGCTCTTTGCAGCAAAACTGCTCAAAATACGAGTCCTACCAGGGTGCCTGGGTGGCTCAGTCGGTTAAGCTTCCAACTTCAGCTCAGGTCATGATCTCGCGGTCTGTGAGTTCGAGCCCCGCGTCAGGCTCTGTGCGGACCGCTCAGAGCCTGGAGCCTGCTTCAGATTCTGTGTCTCCCTCTCTCTCTCTGTCCCTCCCATGCTCACGCTCTGTCTCTCTAATAAATAAACGTTGCTGCAAGTCCTACCAGCAATGCAGAGGCAGCTGTGTGCTGTGCTTACAAGCACGGACTGCGGAGGCAGAGCAGCTGTTTGAAACCCGCCACCACTTTTGCTAGCTATGTGACCTTGGACAAGTGACTTAACCCCTCTGTGTTAGATAAGTGTTTGTTCATAAATAAATAAAACCCTATTCTCTCTTACTCTCAAATCAGACCATCTCCTCCCCTACCGGCTCTCTGACTTCATCTCCTACTTCTCTCCTCTTTGCTTATTCTACTTTAGCAACCCTGGCTCCTCGCTCTTCCTCAAATGTACCCAGCACACCTCTGACTTAGGGTCTTTGCACTGAGTGTGCTTTCTACGTGAATATTACTCTCCATGACACCTGCATGACTTTCACATCTCTTTCAACTCTTTGTTCAGATGTTAACTTCTCTATAAAAATACTGCATGCCATCCTGCCCAGCCAATGCCCTCTTAATCCTCCTTACCCTGCTTTACTTTTCCAGCTCCTAACTTAGTAGATGTTTTACTTCTGCTTATTGTTTACCATCTCTCTACTGGCTGTCTTATAACTAGAATTTAAGTTCCACAAGGGCATCTCAAATACTTAGAACAGTGCCTGGCACACAGAAGATCCTCAATGACAATTTGCTGAAGGAGGCATGTGGGTACCGATGCAGGCAGACGGCTCAGGTTGGTGATGGAAAGATGAGATGCTTCAAATCTGAGGTATCTGTTTTGCACATGTGAGGCAAGCCTGCCATCAGTGGGGAGCAGGAAGATACAGAAGACTTTTAAGACCATCTCTTCAGAAAGTGGAAAAATCTATTTACTAGGGAAGTATAGTAAGATGAGTCAAGTAGTGTTGAACGGTCTTTTTAGACTGTGGTCTTACATATGAGCTGCGTCTAGTCTATGCCTTGGAAAACACTGAAAAGACGAGAGGTCAATGTTTAAAAGTGTAAGAAAAAACAAACCAAAAAAACAACATAATAAGACAGAACTGCATTTTAAATGATACTCAACAGGGCTTAGAACAAGCATGCATTTATCAGTTATGTTACCTTGCCATATTTTACTAAGGGTTTATTTGATGAACATGTCTCTTGCCTGCTAAAAGTTAAAAGCCCTCATTTGCTCTCTTGGCTATTGCTTACAAGGCCCTTCAGCGTTTTGAGTAGGGCACATAAGATCAGATCCCCCGCCACTCCTCTCCGCAGGCTCTATACCCCAGCAATCCCAAACTCCTTCCAGTTCCTAGGAATATCATGGCGTTTATCTGCTCTGTGTTCCTGCACATGCAACTCTCTTTGGTTGTGAGATCACCCTTTTCTAGCCCAACGTTGAAATAATTATTTCTTCAAGACTCAACCCAATGAAGCCTTCCGTGACTTTCTAGGCACAACCGATCAGCCCCTTTTGTTACACGGTACTTCTAATGTATTTTTGCACACTCTACTGCAGTATGTCAAATCTTCTGTTTCTGGTACTACACAGTGATTTCCTTGGGGGAGTAGGTTATGTCTTACTCAGTTTGAGTCTTGAGTATCTAGAATAATGCATGACATATAGTTGCTGCTCAATCAACATTTATTTAATGAGTACTCAGTATGGATTTTTTCTAAACATTCAAGGCATCTAATATCTAGGAGGTAATACATCTAACAGGTCTTATGAAGGATAGTTTTCTATTCTAATATTTGAATAAAAGTAGTAGATATTACATAGTATTCACTATTAGGTTTGCTTTGGGTCTAAACTAAATCTAATTATTTCTCAGAGTGGACCTATGGGACTGTCTTTCCCTAAGGGGAAGAATTTAAAAAAAAAAAAATTCTTTTTAACATTTATTCATTTT